ATATATATATTATATATGTATATATGAAAAATATATCAAAAGTGTATGTGGGTACTCAAATGAAAGCTCTTGATGCGTGTAACATCACAATGAACTTATATCTTCAAAATATATATTACATAATTAAGAAATTACCTTGTATCTTGTGAAATATTGACATTTTTAAAGAGATAAGCTCATTCCGATGTTACACTCATCAAGACCTTTCATTTGAGTACCCACATCAATTTTTCATATATTTATATATATATTACATATATGTATATATGAAAAATATATTAAAAATGCATGTGGGTACTCAAATGAAAGCTCTTGACGAGCCTAACATCAGGATGAGCTTATATCTTCAAAAACCTCAATATTTAAGAAAGTACAGTACAATATTTAACAAAATTCATTATTTAATAATTCAAAATTTTATTATAAATATAATTCACAGCAGTCACACAGTGACTGCAAGGTTGCTTGTTATTATTATCATTGTTATTATTTAATTACTAAATATCCAAAAATTTTTTATCGAATATAACAATAACTTAAATAATTATCTACTAAAATAAAAAAAATCAGCACCCTTAAATGAAAAACCATTAATTACAATAAATAATATTGTTCCAGGTTAGTGACGACATAAAAATCAATTATCCATGATTACTTATCAAAGCGCAAGAATTTATACCTAATTATCCGAATATATATTTCCGATAAAAAAAAATCCATCAAAAAGATAAGATTATCCATCGAAAAAAAAAAAATAAGAATATTTTTACCAACGAATGAAAGTAATTAAAGAAAAAAAATCACTTAAAAATAAAAATGACTCAATGGATATCGAGGATAGTATTGAAAAATTAAAGGTAAAATCGCGCATACCCGATTTTACAGGCCTAACAATTCCAAAGTCTTTAAAATATTCTTCACAATCTCCTTCAAGCTCTCAATCTTTAACTAAAGATGTCGGCTTGTCGAGAGATAGCGAAGCATTAAATAAATCTTCACCTAAATTCCGCGACATTAGTAAAAAATCAAGCATCCCAGTCCTGAGACGAAGTGAAATTCGTGAGTATGAAGACATTAATCCGCGAAACGAAGCCCGAAGATCTCATATACCTCTTCAACGAAGCACCCGTGGAAGTGCTGATGACTTGAGACCACCCTCAACTCCCACGCGAATATTCAGCAACAACAACAGCAATATTATCAACAATAATTACCAGCTGGAGAAAGAAAGCTCGCCGAGTTTGATTCCTAAATTACTGCTGCTGCAAAAAAACAAACGAGCTAAATTTAATATTGAAAAAGTTAACATGGATGTTGAGGATTTTGCTTCTGGTGAGGACAAAAATAAACTGGATGTTGTTGTTAGTAAAGATAAGGACCAAGAAGAAGAACAAGAAGAAGAAGAAGAAGGGAGTAAGGATGTTAAGACTATTGTAGAAGATGATAAGGATGACGAGGAGTCAGCTGGTAGAAGATTGTCCAGCCACTTGTCTCCAGAAGCTAGTCCTCTTAGCACAAGATCGTCTTCTAGGTACAGTCCTAGAGAAAGCGAGAGCGAACCTACTCCGGGGCTTCCGAGGAAAATTGTCGCGGAGAGGAGCGAGTCGTTGAGTTCTCAGAGGATTCGCGATGCTATTTCGAGGACTAGGAGGGAGTCTAATAGCAGTGCTAGGTATGAAAGCTCCGGGAGTGATAGCATCAGGTAATTTTTTATTTATAAAAAATATTATTTTATAAGGATTTTAAATGTCAGTTTTAAAAAAGAATTTTTTTATCTCTAGGTACATAATTAAGAAATGACCTTGTATCTTGTGAACTATTGACATTTTTTAAGATATAAGCTCATCCTGATTTTAGGCTCATCGAGAGCTTTCATTTGAGTACCCACATCAATTTTTGATACATTTTTCATATTTATATATATATAATATATATAAATATATGAGATATATGAAAAATTGATGTGGGTACTCAAATTAAAGCTATTGATGAGTGTAACCTCGGGATGAGCTTATATCTTTAAAATATTGTTATATATATTACATAATTAAGAAATGACCTTGTATCTTGTGAAATATTGACATTTTTAAAGATATAAGCTCACCCCGACATT